AAGCTCTAAGACTTAAGCCCAAAGCCATAAGCCCAAAGGTTTAAGTCCTAGTCTCGGCTGGGTGTGTGTACTCCCCTACTCCCACGTGCATCTCAGGAGCCCACGAAAATGGCGACGGTTGCGCAATTCGCAGCCCCCCATGGAGCTGCGAGGTCCCGGCTAGGTGCGCCTTCTCCCCTACTCCGCCGTGCCTCCCAAGAGCCCACGAAAATGGCGACGGTTGCGCATTCCGCAGTCCCCCAGGTCTCGGCTGGGTGCACGCACTCACGCACTCCCCTGCTCCGCCGTGCCTCCCAGGAGCTCACGAAAGTGGCGACGGTTGCGCAATTCGCACCCCCCCAGGGAGCTGCGAGATCCCGGCTGGGTGTGCGTACTCCCCTGCTCCGCCGTGCCTCCCAGACGCCCACGAATGTGGCGACGGTTGCGCAGTCCGCAACCCCCCAGGGAGCTGCGAAATCTCGGCTGGGTGCGCGTACTCCGCTACTCCGCCGTGTTCCCAGGAACCCACGAAAGTAGCGGTGGCGACGGTTGCGCAATTCGCAATCCCCCATGGAGCTGCGAGGACTCTGCTGGTTTCGCGTGCTCCCCAACTCAGCAGTGCCCACCAGGAGCCCACGAAAGTGGCGACGGTTGCGCAGTCCGCAGCCACCCATGGAGCAGCGCAGGAGGAGGCAGAAGAAGGAGCAGGGATGAGAAGGAGAAGAAATGTCTGTCACAATGCTCTTCAAAACGAGAACCCAACACAAGAGGGTTGGGGACAACCATGCTACACGGTGCATAGCGGCTGCTGTTACCACCGCCTTCTCAAGCCTTAAGCCCTCGCGACCCGATGCAACTAATCTGAGATTCTGTACATCCCCGCGCAACACCCTTCAAGATGGGACTCCACGATCCGATGCAACAACATACCCTGCGACGCACCCAACACACTTGCATCACATCACCAGATGACTTGACCCACATTGTTCTGGATGGTGACAGTGTGACAACCGTCATTTGCTGCGCAAGCGACATGGGATGCCCGCCCGTTGCACGACTCACAGGACCCTCTGCCACCGCAGGAGGAGCTGGAGACTGGCGGAGCGCCACGAGAAGTCGAGGCGCTGAATCTCCGTAGGGCGTTACCCAATTGAACCCCCAGCAGCCCTTGAAAATGGCGGCACTTTCGCATTTCGCAGCCCCCCCAAACGGAAGGAGAGGTCCGATCTGAATCTGTGAAAGACGTCACCCCGCTGGACCCCCCAGTAGCAATCGTAAATGGCGACGGTTTCGCAGTTCGCAGCCCCCGAGGAATGGCGAAGTTTAATTTGAATCCCCGCATGACGTCACCCCGCTGAACCCCCAACAAATTGCTTAAACGTGGCGACAGCTCCGCAATTCTCAACCCCCCCAAAGATGGCGAGGTCGAATCCGACTCTGCGATGAAGCGTCACTCCGCTGGACCTCCCAACAGTCTTAAAACGTGTCGGCAATTCCGCAATTCGCACCCCCCTCCCCAAGGATGGCGAGGTCCAATCTGAGCCTTCGTGAGACATCACTCAGCTGGACCCCCCAACAACCCTCGAATGTGGCGTCAATTTTGCAATTCGCACCCCCCACAGATGGCGAGGTCTGATCTAAATCGGCGCAAGACGTCATTCCGCTGGACCACCCATCAACCCTCGAACGTGGCGACAATTTCGCAGTTCGCAACGCCCCCCAAGGATGACGGGGTCTCTGCGTATACAGTCACTCCGCTTGGCCCCCCAACTGCACTCGAAACTGGCAACAATTTGGTAATTCGCAGCCACCCATGGACGGCGAGGTCTATTCTGAGTCTGCGTACGGCGTCACCTCGCTGGACGCCCCACCAGCCCTCGAATGTGGCGACAACTTCGCGGTTCGCAGACACCACCCAAGGATTACGAGGTCTAATCTAAATCTGTGTAAGGTGCCATTCCGCTGAAGCCCTCGAACGTGGCGACAGTTTCGCAGTTCGCAACCACCCAAAGATGGCCATGTTTAGTTTAGATCTGCGCAAGCGTCACTCCGCTGGACCCCCCAGCAGCCCTCGAACGTGGCGACGCCAGCTCGCTGTTCGCACCCCCCCCCGAGAATGGCGAGGTCTACTGTAAGTCTGCGTAAGGCGTCACTCAGCTAGAGCCCGAATCCGCCTTCGAACGTGGCGACAGTTTTGCAGCCCGCAGTTCACTAGACATGGCGATGTCACATTCAGGTCCGCGTAAGGCGTCACTCCGCTGGACCCCCCCAACCGCCCCCGAGTGCGGCGGCAGTCTCGCAGTTTGCTGCCTCCCAGCGAGCCTCCAGGCAGCACGGCGAGGTAGGGGGCACGGACGCAAACAGGTAGGAGGGGACACGACGGGGGGGCGGGAGGAGGAGGTCGCGACCGCAGTGCTCTGTTCGAAGCGAGAACCGAACGCAGGGAGGTCGGGTAAGACTACCATGCGGTGCACATCTGCTGATCGTAACCTCGCCTTCTCATGCCTCCAGCCCTCACGATTCGAGGCACATTGAGCGCGCACCTGACCTGAACCTGTCTCGACGGAACTCCGTGCCGCTCACGATCCTCTGCAGCTTACCCTGCGACATACCCAACCCTTTCTACACATGTGGCGGCGATGCGCAATAACGATCACTACAACCAAACATGTTGAAAACCCGCAGGAGTCCACACAATTGGCGACTCTTGCACAATTCGCAACCCCCCATGGGAGCCGCGAGGTCCCGACTGCATGTGTTTACAACTCCACTCGGCTGGGCCTCCAAGAACCCAAGAGCATGGCGATAATTGCGCACTTCGCAACCACCTAAGGCGCCGCGAAGTCTCGGCACGGCGTGTTTCCAACTCCACCACGCTGGGCCGCTCACGAGCCCACGAACGTGGCAGCAATTGCGCAATTCGCAGCCACCCAGGAAGCCGCGAAGTCTCGGCTGGGTGTGTTTCCAACTCCACTCCGCTGGGGCGCTCACGAGCCCACGAACGTGGCAGCAATTGCGCACTTCGCAGCCACCCAGGGAGCCGCGAAGTGTCGGCTCGGTGTGTTTCCACGTCCACTCCGCTTGGCCTCTCAGGAGCCCACGAACGTGGCGACAATTGCGCACTTCGCAGCCCCCAGGGAGCCGCGATGTCTGGGCTGCGTGTGTTTACAACTGCACCGCGCTGAGCCTCCCAGGAACCCACGAACGTGGCGACAATTGCGGACTTCGCAACGTCCGCAGGGGAGCCGCGAAGTCTCGGCTGGGTGTGTTTACAACTCCACTCCGCTGAGCCTCCCGGGAGCCCACGAAACTGGCGTCAGCTTCACACTTCACAGTCCCCCATGGAGCTGCGAGGTCCCCCCTCCCAGAAGCACACGAGAGAGGCAGAGTCACAACGGGGCTGCAACGCAACCAGGACGAAGGAGAGAAGGGAGGAGAACGAGAAGGAAAATGAGACAGGATGCAGGAAGTAGGAGGCAGGAGGCAGGAGGGGGGGAGGAAGGATGAGTCTCGACCGCAGTGATCCATTCAAAACGAAATCCCAACACAGGCGGGTTAGGGAAGTTTGCTGCGATCCACATCTGCTGATCTGAACAGTGCCTTATCAAGCCTTCAACCTTTACGATCTGATGCAAATGGCATGTTTTCCTGCACACCGCCAGTGTACACCAGTCACGATCGACAACTGTGCCGCTCACGATCTTCTGGCCTAACACACAAAAGTTGCCCCCCCCGAACCTTCGGCCGGCCGCCGGCCAGCCTGGCGCCGAGGCCCCGCGGGAGCGCGGCGGCTGGTCGTCGTCGTCGTCGTCGTCGTCTGCGCCGCCGCTGCCGTCGTCTTCGTCGTCGTTGTCGTCATCGTAACATTCTTTTCCTTTTCCAACCCGCGGCCCAACGTCCCCTATAGCTTTCCCCAAGGTTTTTTTTCGTCCCGATCCGTTTTTGATGGTCCGAGGGTCCGATACCTAGCCCGACACGCCGAAATCGAGGAGAGACCGCCTGCTGACACACTCAGCTCGTCGGAAATCTGGGGCGTCGTCGTTGCGACGGCTTGCGGCGGCTCCCAGCAGACGGGTGGACGGGGCGCGGTAGGATGATGATGATGATGATGATGATGATGATGATGATGATGATGATGATGATGATGATGATGATGATGATGATGATAATGATGATGATGATGATGAGGAGGAGGAGGGGGAGGAGGAGGGGGAGGAGTGGAGTGGCCGCGTCCAGTCGCTTGAGATGCAGTTTGACGCAGCGTGCCTTGATGTCATTGGTGTGCAGGAGGGACGGACGCAGTCGTCGCACATGGTTGAAGGCCTTGTCTTCGATCGTTACATTGCAAGCGCTGACCCGAGTGGCAATTACGGCACGCAGGTTTGGGTGAGGAGGAGGCCTGGTTTGCGCGTGAAGGATTGGGTGCCGCATAGCCCCCGCCTTGTCGAGGTGGTGGTCCGGGTGAGCGGTCTGACGAAACATGTTCATGTTGTCTCTGGGCATGCCCCGCACGAGGGGGCCGCCAGAGTTGTGAAGCACGCGTTCTGGGAGCATGTCTGTCATGTTGTGCACGCTGCTCATGCGAAAGGTCATCTCGTCATATTGTTGTTCGATACGAATGCTCGTGTTGGCTCTGTCACCAGCAGGTGGATAGAGGGATCGAAAGCGAGTCCGAGAACTACAATGGCCAACTGTTCCGTGCGTGTCTGCGTGCTTGTGAGCTTTGTGCAATTAACACATTTTGGAAGGCGGGGCACACTTGGACGTCTTCTTGGGGTACTCTCCACAGGATTGACTATGTGTGTATCCCGCCTGATTGGTTGCAAAGTGTGGTTGTTTGCTGCGTTCCAGACAGGGTGTGCCTCACGAGGGGGTGCAAAGACGATCACCGGCTTGTGCAGGTTACCGTGCAATTGAGTACCGAGGTAAAGGAACGCTCCCAAGGTGGCGGTAGGCAGCGTTGTTTCTTCAACGAGAGTGCTTTGTATGACCCTGTGTTGGTTGAGAGGTTCCAATATGCAATGTGGTTGTTCCAGCCTTCTGACCGCCTGGATGTACACAAGTACCGCAGCGAACTGTCGGAGTACATCCGGGCACAAGCGAAGCAAGTGTTCGGACCACCTGAGAAGAAGCCGAGGCAGGCTTGGATTTCCCAGTGCACGTTCGAGTTCGTGTCTCTGTCAGGACCCATGAGGAGGTGCATGCATGCGTTGAGAAGTAGCGCGCGCGTGTGTTGTTTTTGCTTGCCTACGTTCATGCTTGGGCATCTGTCTGCCAATGTCGTTTTGTCCCCTCCTCCCGGAGTTCTGACGGAAGCCCGCGCATTGAGCTAGGATGGTGTGCAAAATTGAGAATGCAGGATGTTCTGAACAGGGTGGAACTTCTGCGTCGTGCAGAGGCTCTTGCGTTCCATTGTGTTGTGGTGTTGCATTCAGCGACAGCTCCACTTGTGAAGCTTGACAGAGTTTCCTTCTTCAGTAAGCTTGCCTTCGATGCACAACGTGCCCCTGATGATCACGACAGCAAACGGGTTTTCGCCATTGCTAAGAAAATGGCAGGCAAGCCGTCTAAGCCGGCGCCCGCTGTCCTGATGGAGGACGGGTCCGTCTCTCGGTCGACAGAGCAGATGTTGGAGCGCGTGCAACGTCATTTTTGCGCTGTTTCCAAAGGCACGGTAACGAGATCTGCTTTTGTAGTGAAGTCTCGCCCTGAGCGTGTTGCTGTTGGATCGATGGGCGTTTCTCCTGGCAGGTTTATTGATGCCAACAGTGAGCAAACAACAACTTGCGCCCTCGGCCGTGATGGCATCGGATCTGCCCTCCTGCAGGCAGGGGGTTTCGCGATGGCTGTGCAGCACTCGAAGGTTGCTGAAATGGTCGTTGCGCTCGAGGAAGTCCCTTTCCAGGACAAGGGGGGTCGAATGGTCAAGTTGTATAAGGGCAAGGGGGATCCTCGGGATCTCGATTGTTCACGCGGACTCACTGTTGTGGACCATCAGGCGAAATCATTTATTTCCTTGTTGAAGAATGACCTTGAGGATGCATATCATGCGTTTGTGCCCCAGAGCCAGCACGGAGCTGTAGCAAAGAAAGGCACCGATCTAGCGCACCATTTCATCTTGACTGCCCTTGCCTACGCTAAGGCCGTGGGGCAATGTGCGTTCGTGCTCTTTGTTGATCTTGTGAAAGCTTTCGACGGCGTTGTCCGGGAATTGTGCATGGGATTCCCTCAGGACGTCCCTGAAACTCGCAGCGCCCAGCTCGAGTACCTGATGGGGATGGGGGTTGATGCTCCGGATGCCGAGTGGATTTTGGATTACATAGAACAGCACGGGCACGCCTTTCAGCAAATAGGGGTGCCAGAGAAGCTCACTCGCCTTGTTGTTGCGCTCCACACGAAGTCCTGGTTTCAGGCTGACGGAGCGGACAGCTTCGCCTACACGAGAACTGGCGGCCGGCAGGGCTGCAAATTAGGCGGGCTCATGTTCAATTGTTGTTATACTCTTGCTCTTAACCAGCTTGTGCAGGCGTTGCGCGAAGCCGGCATCACCACCAGGGTGAGGAGATGTGCCAACCCAGTGTGGGAGACCACGACCACACCGAGAGCGGGCGGTGATGGGGAGGAGGAGGAGGAGGAGGAGGTGCTTGACGTCGCATTTGTTGATGATCTTGGCATCGTTCTTTTTGCTTCTTCTCCTCGTGCCATGCTGTCTGCCATCCATGTCCTCTTGCGTGCTCTTGTCGATGTTTTCACCAAGCACAGAATGGTTATCAATTTCAAGAAGGGGCATACTTGCTCTGAGGGGAAAGGATGCGTGCGCGGTGTGGCAGACCTTGCAGACCGACAGGGGACCAGCCTTGCCAATCCCTTGTTCCGATGACGTTGTGCATCTTGTTAGCGTGTACGCGCATCTTGGCAGTGAGGTCGAGGCGAAAGGTGGCAATCTCGCTTATGCCAAAAAGCGCAGCAGTAAGGTCCGATTTACAAGTGCGCATTGAGTTCAGCATTCCTTCGATCGATTGCGAACTTGCAAAACGCAGACTCGAGTAGTGGGCAGGTTGGAAAGGTCGTCCTCGCTTCCGGTGAAGGCCATGCTGTCGCTTCGGGACAAAGATGGACGGCCGGTGCTCCCGTGGGCACAGCAGGCCGGCAAGGACCTCAAACTGTTGCATGAGAGGGTTGCCCGTGTCAGGGAAGTCTTACCTCACCCGGATGCGTGCCCTGAGGCGTGGCAGGCGTTTCTGCGCGACCACGCCGAGGAATGGGCTTCGCTCGTGTCACAGCTCTTCTTCGCAGATTCTGTCTGCGACAATCAACGGGCCAATGAAAGTGCGCAGCCGCCGGTTGCTTCGTTCTCGTGCCCGCACTGCAGTGGCAGAGCTTCTGGGACCAGGCAGGCTTTGTTAATGCACATGCGTGTCAAGCACGGCGTGAGGAATGTCATGCGTATGTATGCTGGCCGCGATTGTAAGTGCCAGGCGTGCCAGACTGTTTTCTCGACAAGACTCGGGCTGCTTGCTCACCTGAATAGACAGGCCAACCAGTGCGGTGAATGGGTGTTGACCAATTGTGCACCTTTGCATGGAGAGGAAGTCGCTGCGTTAGATGAAATTGACGCGCTGGCGCGCCACTCTGCGCACAAAGCCGGGCTAAAACACCCCCAAAGCGGGGGGCCCGCTGTAAAGGCTGACGGAAGACTTGTCGGCCGAGTGTTCCTGTAAAGCGGGGGCCGAGTACTGTTTTATCATCCTTCTGCGTCGCATCGAGCATGGCGCATGCAAAAAAAAGGGGAGGAGGAGGAGGAGGAGGAGGAGGAGGAGGAGGGGGAGGAGGGGGAGGAGGAGGAGGGGGAGGAGGAGGAGGAGGAGGAGGAGGAGGAGGAGGAGGAGGAGGGAAGAGGTGGAGCGGTGGAGGAGGAGGAGGAGGAGGAGGAGGAGGAGGAGGAGGAGGAGGAGGAGAGGTGGAGAAGGCGGTGGAGGAGGAGGAACCCGCGTCTCCAAGAGGGGCGCGTCTCTGTTCGCCTACGCGGCCGGGCGCGCCGCGGAGGCCAGGCTCGGCGCCTCGGCGTCCTCGGTGGCGGTGGCGGCGTCGCTGTCGACGGCCAAGCTGATGTCGTCGCACATGGCGTCGACGTTGTCGGACTGGTAACGCGGGATGACGATTATTTAAAAAAACGGGAGAGAACGATTAAAACATAGTTTTCTGCCATTTCTGCATAATTTTTTGACTGGAGGAGAACGATCAAAAGCCGGGTTTTTCTAATCGTCATCCCGGGCGCCGCCGCGTGAACACGACCCCCGGTCATTTGTTAATTGTCATCCTCCAGTAACTGATGAAACCGCCGAAATCGCTCACCACCGCGGGCGTGACATGGACGTCGGGTGATCCAGAATTGTCAGCAAGAGCACCTTCGCACGCACGTGGTTGCCGCCGTCAGCCCGTGGCAGTAGGGAACTCCATGTCGATGCGCTGCCGGTGGGGACTTGAGCACCAGGGTGGTGCTGTGTCAACGCCTCTGTCACAGGCGGGCCCGTCATCACTCGACCTGGTTGACCACCGTCTGCACGGAGATGTGGATCTCTGGCGGAATCTTCTCGCGGTCGCCGTCGTCCGTGGACACACGTCGCCCCCGCATAATTTTCTTGAAATAGTCCCTCACGTAGTGTACTCTCCTGAGAATGGTGCGCAACATCTTGCGCACCAGCATCGACAAGACCACCGTCAAATTCCATCCCCGCGGATGGCACCTCCCAGTCCGCACGCATCATCAGGAAGGGGAGCATAGTCTCCATCGCCAGAACGGTCAAGGGAAAGTGGGACATCGTCACTGTTGCCATTGCCTGGCGTCTCCGCACCCCCACCACCGTCGTTCAGATTCTCGAAGGATGTAGAGGAGGGGGAGGAGGAGGAGGAGAACGAGGAGGAGAGGAAGGAGGAGGGGAGGAGGAGGAATAGGAGGGGAAGAGGGGGAGAGTCGACGTAGCCTGAGGGCGGGCTTCTGATGAACACACTAAGCGCGAAACGCTAAACGTGTAACGCAAGTCACTCGCGCAACTTCTGCGTATGAGAAGCCCGCCGGGGTCGGTACATTGTTGTTTTCGCTTTGTGATGCATGTGGGAGACTAGTCCCGCGGGTTCGACCGCCTGTGCCCTGGAAATTTCCCAGGCTTCCGTGCTACACTCTTCAGTTCGGCCAACACCGAGCCAGAGCAACGGGTCCATTGGGAAATCGAGGCACATCCAGCTGAGGGCGACATGATGACGGAATCGAAAACAACGAAACTAAGGACGGATTGAATCCGCACTCACGCAGCCAAATATACAATCCATGGAGTGGGGGTAGACATGCATACGAGCGCTGGTCGTCTGAGTTGCTCCTGCCAAAGACTTTAACGCGGCCGATTTCCACGAGGGGTGAACTCTGGAGAAGGCCTCCTTGAGGATGGACCAGCGAGCTGCAACGTCGGGCGGGCACGAGAAGTGCCAGGGCTTCAGTCGGCGGTCGATCGTGCGAACAAAAAATCCAAGACAAAACGCAATCGTAACCTCTGGGCCACCAGCGCGTTGGATTGTTGGTTTGCGGTTCTGATACATTGCCGCCCTCGCCTCGCTACGTCCTGCAACTGTGGCTCGGGCGGGCACGAGAAGTGCCAGGGCTTCAGTCGGCGGTCGATCGTGCGAACAAAAAATCCAAGACAAAACGCAATCGTAACCTCTGGGCCACCAGCGCGTTGGATTGTTGGTTTGCGGTTCTGATACATTGCCGCCCTCGCCTCGCTACGTCCTGCAACTGTGGCTCTGTCCCAAGATCGGATGCTCAAAGGAAGAATGGGGCGGAGAAAGGCATCATGACGCTGGACCACGACACGAAGGGAGGAGAGGCGGAACGAGACAAAGAATTGGTCGATGGCCTGAATCCTCCGCCAGAGAGGGGGCGCACCACTCGCATGCTGCCCACCGCGGGGCGCTGAGGGAGGGGGAGCCGCAGGAAGCGTCGGCCGCCTGCAAGAGCGCATCGTAGGCAATGTCCCACTCGGGGACGGTTTGGGAAACCATTCTCCATGCCGGTGCTATGCCGAGCGCATTGAGTGAGTGGGGGGACGAGCAGCATCCTCCTAGAAGGGAAGATATCACCACGGGAAACCACAAGCATGTTCGAGGGCAGCCGCGAGATCTGATGCAATCTCAGGGCTTCACGAGACTTAGAAAGGGGGAGCGAGAGAGAGAGAGAGAGAGCGAGAGGTGGGAGACATGGGAAATAATTGGGCGATCTAACTCAATGTGCTGACGGCTCACATGTTATGTTGGTACTCGAATGGAGCAGATGCATCACGGGATGCGGGCGGCTCAATAATGCGCTGCCACCATTCCTGTGATGCAGCATGCCGTTGGAGTACGAGATTCCCTTCGGCCTTGACAGAAGTCCAAGGTACTCTGCGGACCTTTGAAAATCGAGCTCCTGGTATTGTGGAATTTCCAAGGCGAGCCGCGTTCGGGTATTGGCAACCAGGGTTGGCGCACACTCAGCCTAGAAAGGGACGATACAGCAGTTTGCATGTTGAAGCCGAAGGAGCGCGTTCTGGGCAAGGTTGCGGAAGGGGGGGGGGGCTAGGTGTCTCCGTCACGAAGCTGCGGTAAGATATCGCATGTATCGTCAACGCATCCTCCGACCTCTCCTGTGGCGTCGCCTACCACTGGATGCTCAACCGTATCGGTGAGGAGTCACACAAAAGGATCAAGCATCAAGTCCCAGATCGATCCCGACAGTGGGCATCCTTGCAAAACACCTCTTC